ACTTTGATTTAAATGCCCATATCTGGCAGTTTTCACTTACACGCGCCATTTTAGTTGTGGTTTCTTATATTTTCTCTGTTGGTGTTTGATGATACAGAACAAATTTTTTATCATATATTAAAAGATAGATGGATGGCTGGATGGATGGATGGATGGATGGATAGATAGATGGAAAAAAACATATTTTTATTATACTATTGTTATTCTAAATTAAATTAGTATTATATATGTACAGTATCCATGTATACTAAGTATACCACATTATCTCTATGGTATTTACTGTATGTAAGTGTGTATTTAAGCAGAACTAATATAAAAGAATTGTAGTTACAAATTGGTCATTTCTCCAGTTTGGCACAAATAAAGAAAATATTTGAATTGAAATATATGTAATATAACTAACTATGTTACGTCACTTCTCCTCCTCTCAATTAATGCATTTTTAAAAAAATAAACAAACCCAACGTTTCCTAGCTCCTACAGACTGACTCATGTAGACTGATGGACACCTGGTCAGGTCCCTGTTGGCTGCTGTTCATAGTGTGTATATGAGTTGGATCAATGTTTACCAAACGGCCCATGGACCGGGCTACAGAACAAACTCACACAAATCTCATTCATTCAGGCTGTTACATAACGACGTCATTTGCAGAGCGACGCTGTTCCGTGCTCATCCATGGACCACACTGCTCCCAATCATCACTCAGAGACTGGCACCACCAACACCGCCACCTCCTGAATGAAGACTTCACTGCTAGATTGTCCCTAATTGAGTTTGATTACAGCATCATTCAGCAGCAGCAGAAAAAGTGAATGGGTTTGCCGGTCTGTGATGAGATCGTTTCTTCCTGTTCCTTCCTAATTATATGAATGACTGCGGGGGAAGAACAAGAGAACCCAACAGAGTCTGCAAAAAAAAAAAAAAAAAATCTCAAACACGACACTCTTCTCAGGCTTTTTAAAAAATATCTTTTTCAGCCATAAAGAGAATATTGCACAGATTTAAAGGGTACAACATCAAGAATGGGTTTGGGGGAAAATAAAAAAAAAAGAGTTTATAAAATATTAACAGTCCCTCTCTCCTCGCCGACGTGTCGTTGAAGAGTTTAAATCCACTTATGTATTTCTCACGGTGACCAAAGTCACAGCCTGACTCCTCAGAAGTCACGAGCTCTCATTGTGTTTCGGGAATCCATTCAAATCTGTTCAGAAGACTGAACTGCTTTGTTTACAATACAGGGGGTTCAATGGTGTGTATTGTTGTTCCAGGAATGTGCACTTTTATTGTGAGAGCAAAAAAAAAAAAAAAAAAGAAAAGAAAAGAAAATGCACCACGAAATCACATTTGTAGGAGAAGTTCCACAATTTACTCACTTGTTTTGGTTAAATGAAAAATCAGTGAGACCGCTGCGGTAAAGCTGAAAAAAAATTGCATTTTGTTTGTGTTGATAATTATTTTCTTGATTATATTTGTTTTAATATGAAGATAATGTATGAATATTTAAAGTAAAAACTAAAATAAATTCATTTGTGTTATAGACTTATTTTATACATTTTTTTTTAAATGGCTGAGGAATTAGGGATGTAACGATGCACTCGACTCACGATGTGATGTGATTCACGATTTTTTGTTCATGTTGTGGACATTGTGGGTGTGTTGTGTTTTTGTCACATATCTAAAACTGGTTTACATTTTAAAAAACACAATTATGTCTGAAAAAAACCTCTTCACTTTCGTCATTTCATTCGACGAATGAAAATTCAAGATAATTAAAAATCACTTTTCAACTGAATGATTTTCTTCTCACTTTGGTAGAGAATGAAATGATAATAATTATGGATGGATTTTTGACTGAAATTAATCTTATTTTTCTCCCTGTCTGAAATCTCTTTTTTTTTTCTTTCCATGTCGATGGCACAGCAGCCTGGTAATGCTGTTGGAGAAGGATCCACTGCGACATTCCGGTGATTCAGAATCTTTGCCCAGTGTTCCTCTAAGTTTTACTGCACACCCAGTTTCTATGGATACACCTTGCAACGCATTACTTTTGGATTTCAGACAAGTCCACTCCTCTGGTGCGCTACGCCTGCATCACTGTTTCAAACCAGAGGATGGGGCAGAGTGACTCGTACACAGAACTAAGATTAAACACAAGATAAATGAATACTTTGTCACATTTGTAAATAAAGAGTGAGAGAGGGAAGCAGTGGAATCTGAACCCACACCTGCGGTCGTCTGTTTGAGGTCCTCCCTTTGATGCATACATCTGGTGAGCGGCGCTGCCGACCGCTGGGACGTACGAGCCGCTTTCTCAGCAGCATCTCTGGCCTCGTCCTCTATGGGTTGCCGTTCCCCACTGGGTCAGTCTCAGGGAGGATGCTGTCCCAAAGGTCAAATGTCCTCTGCTTTCCTTTAAGGTCAACTTTGCTGTGACGATGCACTCGATATTTGTGTGTGTGAACATGTGTGTGTGTGTGTGCATGTGTGTGTGCATGTGTGTCCCAGTTATAACTCCTAACTAGGGCAGCAGGAAACACAGAATCTACCTGACAACATACAGGTACTAAATCTTATCCCAGCAATGATAATAATCTGGATGTTGTAGAGGAGGGGTCCCCAACCCCTGGTCCGAGGACCAGTGCCAGTCCGCAGGGCCTCAGTGGGACATGTACTTCAGTGTACTTCAGATTTACTGATTTACTTGAATCCAAAAAAATCCAGTCATATTCCTTTACTTTTTTCATTCAAAGACAATCTGTCAATGTTTCAAACAGGTCAAAGGTCATTCGGACTCGGCCAACTGGTCCCTTGGTCCCTGGTCCTTTTGTAGAGTTCAGGGTAAAGTTACAGGATGTTAGGATATTATTTCCACTATTGATAATGAAGAAATACATTCTGGAAAAAAAAACCCATAACCTTTTATGGTGCATTTTGTTTATTGATTATTATTTCCCTTATATTTATGTTTTAAATATGAAGATAATAT